ATGCGGTCGGACAGCTCTGTTCGGTGATTCCGTTCGGCGAAAAAAATGGTGATCGCGCTTGTAGGGGCTAGATTTCTGATGCTGCTGTGGCTATCACCATTGCCACTGCATCTCCACTACTTTGTTGTTCTCCTGTTGCTATGGAGCGATCCATCCATCCATGAATGCCCAGCCTAGCAAGCCTACATAGAATTTGACGAAGAGGACTATAGCCTATAGGAGCTGCGTGCGTACCGAGCTCTATAGGGCAACACTCTCCAGTCGGTCGGCCTTTGCTTTCAATTGAGCGTGGAGCAGCTCATTGAGGCCTTGCAAATCGCCTAGTCCGCAATGCTTGAAATTTTTGCCCTAAAATGGAAATTACAATTCCATGATTCTAGCGATTCAAGCGATTCTAGCACAATTGAGCAATGGTGCCCGATTGGGCATGGTCCCATGTTACCAAGCTCACTCTTTATGCTTCCAGCAAAGGAGCTGGGCATTGGAAATGTAATTATTGTGGAAAAATGTATGGTGGTCTGCCAAAACGAATCAAGGCATATCTTGCTAAAATTTCTAGGTATGATGTTGAAGCATATAATGCTTTAAATGTTCCTCTTCATGTTCAGAACCAAATTCACCGAATGTTGGTGGAGCAAATCACTAATACCCCTTTGTCTTTACTTTCTATAGCAAATCTACAAAGTAGGCATTTTGATGGGGCATCTGCTTCTGGAGTTGGTACACAAAGTGTTAGTCAATCTCAGCCTATGAGTGCTTCTATAGGCCATGAGGGATCATTTGCTTTGGTTTTCCTACTTTTATTAATGTGGTTTTACTAAAAATGTTTTTTTTTTATCAAAAAAATTTTATGAACCGCTCAGCCATTCGGCATTTTCACAGCCGGTCGGCCGGTGGGCATTCGGAACAATCAGGACCAACCATGGTTGTTGCAGCTTGTCTCAATTCCCAAAACAAGTAGTACACTAGCAGCTGTAGCAAAAAAAAGGGCACTATACAGGAATTTGCACATTTGGGATGAATGTGACACCATTGCAAGGGATTGGCAAGAGCATGCCCATAGCCCATAAAACCCTAAATCAAGGGAAAGAGATCTAAATATAAGCTTGAGGTGTATTGTTATTATAAATGCTTTCCACTAAATCCTAGAATTTACCCTCTTAATTTCAGCAATCTCCATTGCAAAAGGTTTAGTGTCAATGCCAATTAACACTTTGCATGTGACATGTGTGGTAGTGCCTTCTTCTCTCACCCTAGGCAATTAACTGCTTCCCATTGGCTTGATAGCAAACATCAATAGAATTATTTGTTAAGATATGGTTAAGGAAATAACCCTTTTACAGCTACCCCTATCGGACGGCTGCCATTGGCTGAATCCAGCAGCCCAGAAAGGTCAACACTCCCTCCTTATTATTATATCAAATAACTTCATACATTAATTTAATGTGGTTTGCATCTAGACCACCTGCAAGATCGGATTCCATAAGCTTAGGTGGGACATGTATGTAATAACCCTTGTAATAATTGCTCCAAATAAAAACATTATTTTGAAGTTGACATGATTTTAAAGTTATTTCAGTGGTTAAATATTTTGTAATATATTTTCTCTGGATACGCCAGATTTAACCACCCTAGCATATGCTTCAGGTTATCCAACTATCTTTTAACCCCTTAAAACCCTTATGGGAAACGTCATGGGGCGAAGGGAGAGCGCATTGCAATGCGCGCCATGGATTGTTAGGGTGTGAATTGCGCTAGGGCAAATGTTTGCGGTGGGGCATTGGCGCATCGGCTGCCGGAGGCATTGGATCTCTCGCGGCTGCCCTGGATTTTGATCGATCTTTCGCTCGCAGCGATCGATCGGCGCCAGCGCCATGGCGGGCATCACGCCAATGCTGTCGTCGACATCGCTCCAGTACAAGAACGCGCTGGATCGAATCGCCGGGCCGCCCCAGTTTCGGTGGTTCTCGTGGACGCAGCCCGGGTGTGGGAGCCCGTGCTCGCCCGATCAATGCAGTGCCAGTGCCAGTGCCAGCGCCAGCGCTAGGGCGTCGTCTCGATCCAGGAGAGTCCAGGTTCTAAATATTTTTGTGAGAGCCGCTTGGTGTAGTGGGAAGTTTAGAACGAGGTCTCACGAGGAGACGAGGTCCGTAGAGAGCAGCACAGCCATCGAGAAGCGTGTCCTCACGCACTACTCGTCCGCCAGGAAGGATTTTGACATACTGGAGAGGCTCACAATCTCTGAGACGTCGTCGGTGGGGTTCATCTCGCGGGATGATGTTGTGTCCACGGATCAAAGAGACTCGGAGGAAGAGATATGGACGATCAATGACAGCGCGGAGCTGTATAAGATCGATGGGTGGGGCGCGCCATACTTTTTCATCAATTCTAAAGGTCACGTTAGCGTCCATCTCCACGGACATCTGGATGGTAAATTCATCTTTGAAGTTGTCCGAAGGCAAGAATTTTAATCTTTTCTGTTTTGTTTGTTAATGGCAGGCTCGGACGAACTGGACTTGGTAGATCTGATAGAGAGCCTCAGACGAAGAAACCTTCAGCTACCAATGGTTCTTCGTTTCCCCGAAATAGTGCAGCACAGAATTCGCCAGCTGAATGATTGTTTCAACAATGCCATTGCGAAGTTCAGCTATCAGGCAAGTTTCTCTTTTCTTTTGATTTGTTTTTCAACAGTTCGCTCTCCTGACGTGTAGCGGCATTTTCAAGGAGTTTTTCCTATCAAGTGTAACCACGACCGCTATCTCCTCGAAGACATTGTGAAGTTTGGGGATCGGTGTAAGTTTGGGCTAGAAGCAGGCTCTAAACCCGAACTTCTGATAGCTATTGCAAAGCTAAGGGGCAGTAAGGACGCGCTTCTCATCTGCAACGGATACAAGGCATTTATTTGTGACCCTGTTCCACTGTCGAGGCTTGATGAGTTGTGTGCTGTTGACTTGTGAGTAATTGACTCTAGCGTCGATGGTCTCTTGACAAGAATTTGTTTCTCTTACTTTCTAATTTTTGTTTCTAACTCGTGGTGCTGATGTGCAGGATCGGGTATATATTGAGAGTGTGTTACTGGCGAGGCAGCTTGGCGTGAATGCCATCATTGTTCTTGAACAGGTTTGTATTTCTTTTTATTCCGAGTAGTTTATCAATGAACCTATGACAGATGGAGGAGCTAGAAATGGTAATCCAAGCGTGCAGAATTTTGGGAGTTCGACCCATGGTCGGTGTGAGGGCAAAACTAAGCACCAAACACACCGGGCATTGGGGTGGTTCCTCAGGCGACAAAGGAAAGTTCGGTCTCACGGTGACTGAGATCGTTCGTGTTGTGTATACGTTGAGAAAGGTTTGTTACGCATTTTTATGCTGGATTTGATACTAACACTTGGAACATGCAGGAAGGCATGTTGGATTGCCTTCAACTCCTGCATTTTCATATCGGTTCGCAAATTCCTTCGATCTCTATTATCAAAGAAGCCATGCGCGAAGGAAGCCACATCTTCTGCGAGTTAGCTTTGATGGGCGCACCCATGGTATGTACTCCTTTACTTTCGGTATAGTGGCCATCTGAAGCTTTCTCCAGCAATATATTGACGTCGGAGGCGGGCTTGGTATTGACTACGACGGAAGTAAAACTCAATCGAGTGCTTCAACGAATTACAGCATGCAGGTGGGCCATTTGTTTTACGTTTTCGAAGCTCACCATGGTTTTCTCTTTTCCTATCCCAGAATTATGCAAACGATGTGGTGGCAGCTCTGGTCGATGCTTGCATTTTAAAAGGGGTTGCTCAACCCGTGATCATATCTGAGAGCGGGCGGGCGCTGGCATCCCATCATTCCGTCCTCGTCTTCGACGTTCTCAGCACGTTTGAGCGGTCCGAGAACACTTCCCTCGCAAATCTGGAAGTTCTGATGAATAACTCGCCTTATGGCCAGCTGAAAGACAATGGTCGAGGCTGCTGTGCCAACTCAAACTGTCCGCCTTGTTCAGCAAGCCCGGCCGCCGATCAAGATCCAGGGGAGTACCTCCTTCACACGTTTGAGAAGGTCTACAATACCATGGACGAGTCCAACTTCAGAGAGTCATACAGCGACGCCAAGCAGTTCAAATCCGAGATATCCAGCCTCTTCAAGCTCGGATGCCTGAGCCTGGAGCAGCGAGCTCAAGCCGATGCCCTGTACGAAGCACTCTGCCATCGTGTCGTAGCACTGTGCAAAGGAGAAGATCTTCCGGACGAGCTCCAGGAGCTGAGGGACTCACTGGCCGCAGTCTACCACATCAACTTATCCGTCTTTCGCTCGGCTCCCGACGCCTGGGCCATCGACCAGATCTTCCCGATCATCCCACTGCAAAGGCTGACCGAGAAGCCGACTGTTCAAGCTACTCTGGCCGACCTCACCTGTGACAGCGATGGGAAGTTTGATCGGTTCATCGGCGAGAATGGCGAAGTAGCAGCCGCCCTCCCTGTTCACGAGCTTCGCAAGGGAGAGCCTTACTTGATGGGACTCTTCCTCGGTGGTGTCTACCAGGTAAAGTTTCCTTCTCTCTTTTGTTTCCGGTACTAAAACTTCAAGCTCTCTCAGGAGGTGATGGGAAGCGCTCACAATCTCTTCGGTGGAACAAACATAATTCACGTCAAGATCAAGCCACAGACGAGCAGCGACATCCTTACCTCCGCCGCGGCATTGCTCAAGAACGGCAGCTCTAGCGGCCGGGGAGGCTACACGATCGAGAGAGTGATCCGGGGCCAAACCATGGAAGAAGTGATGCGAGCCGTCCAGCACGTAGGCGACGAGATGACCGAAGAGCTGCGAAGGGAGGCCGAGGACGCCGTCGCAAAGGGCCATCTCTCGGTGGAAGAAGCGCAAGCACTGCTAGTGAATTATAAGAGAAGCTTGGGATCCTACACTTACTTGAGCCGATGATATGCTCCCGCCAATTATTTTAAAGCAGGAAAAAGATTCTCTTGATAAAAGTTTTAGGGTTTTGCTTCGTATCCATAGAACCCTAGGGTTTCTCGGGCTCTGGCGATGGCGAGCGAAGACGACGACGCTCGCAGTGGAGGCGAGCAGAATCGTGCGGAGCAGGAGGAGCCTGTGGCGGAGGATGCGGCGGAGGAGGAGGAGGAGGAAGAGGCGGCGGATGGATCCAATGCGGTAAGGAAGCGGCGAGTGCTCGAGCGGCTGGCTCACAAGATGGAGAAGGAGGATGTGAATGTGCGTGTCCACGACATCCAGATCAAGGGGAACAAGCGCACCAAGGACTGGGTGATCGAGTCGGTCCTGGGCAAGATGAAGGAGGCGACGACGCTTCAGGATATTTTGCTGGAGGCCGCCAAGGCCAGCGTCCAGATGGAGCGCATGGATGTGTTTGAGAGGTGGGTCATCAATTTCGATGTCGGGCCGCCGGAGCTGCCAGGAACGACGAATGTGATCGTCGAGGTCGTGGAGCCCGAGAGGCCTTACTCGTGCAATGTGGGGATGTTTTCCAGGCCAGAAGTAAGTTCTCTGGGTCTCTCGAGCTTTTCTTTTCTAGTTTTCATGTTTCTCATGGAAACTGTACTGCAGTCTCGAAAATGGTCGCTGGAGGGAACCTTGAAGTGGAAGAACTTGCTGGGTTATGGAGAAACTTGGGATGGAACTGGCTGCTACGGCTGGGACTCCACAGCTGAGAACAGTGTGGGAGTGAATTTCCCCAGGTTTAGAACTTGGCCTGCTGGTTTCTTCACTCGGGTCTCGTTACTCTCCCAGGACTGGCACAAGTACTCGTCTTACAAAGAAAGGCTGCTAGGGGTCTCGACTGGCTTGATCCACGACAACAATCACGAGCTCAGCTACAACTTGACGTGGAGAAACCTTGCCGATCCGTCTCATAGAGCGTCCAAGACTGTTCGCGGCCAACTTGGTCACTCTTTGCTCTCGGCTGTGAAGTATAGCTACAGGTTGGACACCCGGGATTCGTCTGTGAGACCAACTGAAGGATTCGCATTTTCCACTTCCTCCCAGATCGCTGGCTTGGGACCCGACGCCAGGCTCTCGCGGTTCTTCAGGCAGGTACTTGAAAGTCACGATGTTTTCTCTGCCTTTATCTTTACTGATGTCTTCTTTTCTTGCATTACAGGAGCTAGATTTCCGTTTCGCTGTTCCTCTAGGCGTGTTCAACGCAGCCTTGAATCTCGGTACCTCGGCTGGGCTGATCGTTCCCTGGGGGAAGGATTTCCTGAGCAAGTCGACGCCTCTGAGCGACCGGTTTTACATGGGAGGACCGAGCTGTCTCGTGAGCGAGCTCCGGGGCCCGTTCAGCCTGGTCGGCTTTCGAACGCGTGGAGTCGGTCCCAGGGAACTCAGGCGGCTTGTCAAGTCCGGCAACGAAGAGGAGGTCGGGAAGAGGGACACCTTGGGTGGAGACTTCGCCATCAACGGCTTCGCGGATCTCTCCTTCGATCTGCCGCTCAAGTTTCTCAAGGAGCACGACATCCACGCTCACGTCTTTGCGTGCTCGGGCAACATCTTGAGCCTGGCGGACAGGAAGAACATGACGGCGCAGAAGTTCTTCTCGGGGTTCCGGTCCTCGGTGGGCGCGGGCTTGGTCATCCCAACGAGAATGTTTCGTCTAGAGGTCTGTTCGATCTTTGGTTTCTCTTTGTTTCTCCTAAAGTTTGTGTTTTGCTGGTTTGGAAGATAAATTACTGCCGAGTTCTCAAGTACCAGGAAAACGATCGCGTCAGGAAAGGATTCCAGTTGTGCTTCTCGCCTCCGTGAAAGAGACGGGACGTTTTTGACTCGATTCTATGAAGAAATTTGTCCGAATAAATGGATTTTTGAGTAGTCTAATGTTAGAATTTAGTATATTCCCAGCTTGGGATCGCTGACCTTGCGGTCCACCCGCTAGTCAACTACGAGCATATTTTAAGAATGTGCCTGCCTTCGTGGCGCTGACGTGGGTTAACAGCGGCCACTTGAGCTTGTGGTGGCTGCCTCGTGGAAAAATGAGGGCGTAGGGTTTTATTTCCAGCATTTCGCCTGGGTATGGTGTCTCGCAGGGATTGAGCGATCGAACGACGACGGTGCAATCGATACGATTGCGTGGCGATGCTGCTCCAGTCCGGGGGCGCCATTCCCAGGCGGCTGTCGTCCGGCTTCTGCGATGATGATTCTAATCGGCAGCGATCTCGTCGCTGTCTCTGTGTTAGAGCGGTAGCTACCACGGACCCTCCGGCTCCAGCATCCGAGGCGAAATCTTCTCGTAGGAATGTCAATGGAAGCGCAAGGATTAATGGCAGTGCTGGCCGAAGCATGGTACGTTTTGTTTTGATTTTTGTCGGTAGATTGGTTTTCTCATGGCGCGCATGGCAGCGAGTGGGAGATATGGCGGAGGAAGTGAAGAAGATGAGAGCTCAGCTCGAAGAAGACGAGCAAGTCGCTTCATTCATGCGTGGGCTTCGAGGACAGAATCTCTCGGACGAGCTCTTCGCGTCATCGACCGTAAAGCTTCGCCTTGTCGAGGTAAGAAATATGTTTCGTCGAGCCAAAATGAAGAGCCATGTTTTGCAATGTTTCCAGGTTGACAGAGAAGGAGACAAGGAAGCACTGCCCCTGGTTTATAGCCCCCAAGCGATATCTGCGTACTGGGGAAAGCGCCCTGCCGCTGTTTTCACTCGCATTTTCCAGTTGCTTGGTGTTGCTGGCGGATTTCTTTCTCACCTCGCTGGAGACATCGTTTCGAAGAAGCTGAAAGAGGTAACAATACTTATTTTGTTGTTTCCCGGAGTGAAGGCACTTTACTTGCAGAATGAAGTCGCGCGAGCTATCGAGCTGAGGGAAATTGTAACATCGCTTGGACCTGCCTATATCAAGCTTGGACAAGCTCTCAGCATTCGTCCTGATATATTGTCTCCTGCCGCCATGACTGAGCTACAGAAGCTTTGTGACAAAGTACGTTGGATTGAACTTGGAACTGATTTGCACTTCATTGTGACCATAGCCTTCTTAAATGTTTTCTAGGTGCCGTCATTTCCGAACGACATCGCAATGGATCTTATTGAGAAAGAATTGGGCCAGCCATGGACTGAACTGTATTCGGAGCTTTCTCCGTCTCCTATTGCTGCCGGTATGAAGAACTAGAAATTCGCTTCTATACTTCTCTTTAAGTTGATCTTTGCAGCATCTCTGGGGCAAGTTTATAAGGGTCGGATTAAGGAGACGGGGGAACCCGTGGCTGTAAAAGTTCAAAGGCCTTACGTACTTGAGACTGTAACTATTGACTTGTACATCATCAGAAAACTTGGGCTCGCTCTTCGAAAATTTCCACAGGCAAGTTTTACCTTCGATGTAATTTTCTTGCCATAATTGTGTTGCGCTTGTAGTACAGATAGCTACAGATGTTGTTGGTCTTGTGGATGAATGGGCTGCACGGTTTTTTGAAGAGCTTGATTATGTCAATGAAGGTCGGAATGGAACTAGGTTTGCAGAAATGATGCGGCAAGACCTTCCTCAGGTTCGAGCTTTTGAAATGGTTCATTTGATCATCATCTTTGCTGCAGGTAGTTGTCCCAAAAACTTACCCCAAGTATACATCAAGAAGAGTATTAACAACCGGATGGATTGATGGAGAGAAACTTTCTCAAAGTACAGCTGATGATGTCGGAGATCTTGTAAATGTAGGTGTAATTTGCTATCTAAAACAGGTACGTGCTTATATATTCCAGTGTTTCGGCTTCCGATTGTTTTCTCATTGAATATTTGACTGTGAAGTTGCTAGATACAGGTTTATTCCACGCTGACCCACATCCTGGGAATCTAATACGCACTCCTGATGGGAAGTTGGCCATACTTGATTTTGGTAGGTTCCTTGTGTGCGTTAGGATTGAAAATGTTAGTAACTGTTTCGCATGCAGGTCTGATGACACAAATAACAGATGACCAAAAATACGGAATGATTGAAGCGATATCGCATCTTATTCATCGTGACTACGAGGCTATTGTCAAGGATTTTGTGAAGCTAGATTTCATTCCCGAAGGAGTGAATCTAAATCCGATTATGCCTGTTTTGGCGAAAGTGTTTGATCAAGCTCTAGAAGGCGGTGGTGCCAAGAACATCAACTTTCAGGAACTTGCCTCCGATCTGGCTCAAATCACATTTGATTATCCTTTCCGGATTCCTCCATATTTTGCTCTTATAATTCGAGCTATTGGAGTTCTGGAAGGCATTGCATTAGTAGGCAACCCGGACTTCGCAATAGTAGACGAAGCGTATCCTTACATCGCACAGGTATGTATGTTTTATTTTCTAAATCATTGCCACTCAATTTCCTTTTCTGTTACGCAGAGGCTTCTTACAGATGATTCTCCTAGATTAAGAGAAGCTCTTCGGTATACCCTCTACGGGAAAACCGGTGTTTTCGACGTGGACAGATTCATCGATGTTATGGAAGCGTTTGAGTCGTTTACTCTGGCTGCTAAAAGTGGAGGCGGTGAAGCACTCGGTGGGGATATGGCATCCCTTGGTTCGTTACCGAGTACTTCAAGAGACATTATCTTGCGAACGACTCGTCAGGATCTTCCGTCCGGACAAATGCACGCTAGGGTGGCGCTGGGATTTATGGTCTCCGAGCGTGGAGAATTCTTTCGCGAATTTATACTAGACGAGGTATGAATTTACTCAGTATCATCCGCAATCCAAAACTTCTGGCTGCAGGTTGTGAAAGGACTGGATGCACTGTCTAGGGAGCAAGTTGCTCGTGCGTTGCCATTGCTGGGCCTGGACAGAATCGATACCATTTTAAGGTCTATGCCTGTTGTTGGCGTTTTTGCCAGTGCTTTGCCTTTCATGCCTCATCGGCTACTCCCCACCATTACAGCCATTACAGAAGAAGACGAGCTTGTATTGAACAACGTATATAAAATCATCTCCTTTTTTGTAGAAGGAACTCCATCGTTCAGAACAATCGATCGGGTATGTTGTGACTTGTTTCTGTAATAATGACCCCATTTGTTTCCATCAAACGCAGGGAAATGGATTGGAAGTGCTCAGGTTACTAAGAGAATTCCAACCCATTCTTCCAAGCATTTCATCGAAGCTGGTTCCAGAGATAGTGAGCCGTTTCGCATCGCGTGTTGTTGCCAGAGTCCTGCGGGAAGTTTTCTTGTGAAGCACGTCAAACAATTTGGACGACGAGCGAAAGACAAAGTCACGGCAAAGGTACAATCTCTCAAGTTGTAAGTTGCAAGTCAATTGAAATCAAAACTCTGTTTGACACGAGGCTCTGAATTTGTGCGTCTGTTCTTCTCACTTCCGTGTGCTTTGTCTCCTCTAGATGCACAGAGCATGCCAGAGCGATGCAATGAAGAATCTCGCTCTATGTTAATTGTACGCAATCTCAGGCCAGTTCTAGCAATCTGTTTTATACTTTTTAAAATTTTCCTTCTTTGATTGTAGCAGTGGGAACCCCTGGAAAAGGGCTTCACAGTCCTGACGTGTTATATTTCGACTGTCACAGGGCCCTGTACAAATAAATGTAGCTGCCAAAACTTTGGTCTTATGGGGAGCGAAATGTGGATAACTACTTGAAAACTGTTGGTACTTTCTGTCATTTACTCCGCTTTGTCAAGAGACTAATTTGGTGGTTTCCTGCTCGTAGGTAACTGCAAATGGGTTCTCTGGGAAACTTGCAGCTCTGGAAACGCAAAATTAAACTTGCATCAATAAGATTAGAGCAATACCTCGAGTAAGTATTGCGATTGCTATGGCTAGTTTTTCTGTGTGTGTCGTCATCTTCTAAGATGTATCCTAAGTTGATGTTCGTTTCCTTTAGTAACACGTCGGTGGCACCTGAAAGACTCCACAGTAAGTCGGATTTCCATGAAAGAATATCTCACGCTTACCATCTTGTGGTTTATCTACAGCTTGGAGCCGAAACTCTACTAGTCTCTGTTGGAGGTAATTCTCTCGCTGCTGCTGCTGCTGCATGCTTTCTTCGAGCAGTTTAGAAGCTGGGAAAATCACACCGCGTGTAAACACGGGAACGTAGCAAAATACCATGCAAAGTTACCAAGGTCGGTGTTGTTTCTCACATTCCTGGATTGTTGATCAGCATTTTTCCTAGACAGACAAACATATTGTGCCAAACATACAAAAAGTCTCCATGTGATCCGAGCTTACTTGTCGGTGTATTTTACTTTGTCACGGTAAGGCTTGACCAGAACACGAGCTCCGCAAACATAGTGGGGATTGCCTTCGGCCAGAATGGTCTTGACAGTTTCTGCATGGATGAAGGTTACGAATCCAAACATACGCTTCTGCTGATAAGGGATTCGTACGTCCTGAACAGGACCATAAGCGCTGGCAAGCAAGCAACAAGGCAGCTACATGAGAGGTAATACCTTTTGATATGTTTTTTACTTCTTTACCTGAAGTGCGCGTTCACATCCTCTTCAGTGAAAGCGCTCTCAGCAGGGAACGTCAAATATATCTGACGAGAGCTGGGACTTACGATGCCATTATGATCATAATTATCTCCACGATGAGCCGCAACCGCAAGCCTGGAACTTTCTTCGACCAGGACGACTGCCTGCTGTCCATTGGGCCTGAGAAGCGAACTACTTGTCAGACGCATGCAAGACGGACTCGAAAGAAGATCGATCGGCTTACTGATCGATGACGAGAGTGTTCTTCATATGGCAAAGCAGGCTGGTTAAACCGGATCCTTGTACGGCCTCGGGAGTCGCCAGGAACCCGTCAACGTGGAGAGCGCTCCCGAATTCCTCGAAGTACATCTGCGGAAGCAACGAGATTGGCACCGGTGACTTTCTGGCACGGAGCAGCTCTTGAATCTCCAATTCCAGCCTCTCCAGAGCCGACTCTGTCCCGTGCTCCTCGATTCCCAGCGAGTTCGGAGTGTGGAGAAATCTACACCCGCTGCCGTGCTTGCAGTGGCCCCGGGAGTAGTAGACGCAAGGCTTCCACGCGTGGCTACTGTTATTGCTACTGCTGCTGCTGCTGTTTGGAGATCCGTGCTCCGAGAGACTCAGCATCAGATCGTGTTCGTCTGACTTTTGCTGCTGCTGCTTCTGCTGCTTCAATCTGTTCCTGTTGAGGAACGCGAAAGTTTCCGGGTAGAAGTGATCATTTGGGAAAACTCCGGCACCAAAGAGAGGCTGGTGCTGGTATGTATCTTGTATTGAAGGCCGATTCATTAACTCCGCTTGTTGTTGCAGTTGCTTCTGGAACGGGACATGGGAATTGACGAGGGGAGGATGGTACACGTCTCTGAGATGGTAAGTGGATTGAAGCTGGTGATCGAATGCGGTACCAAAGTGGAAAGGTGGATGCTCAGGCCTGGAGAATGGAGCAGGATGATCGAAATGAGCATTAGGACTGGGAGAGAGGCCAAGTTCCTGCTTTGCTTTGTCCACCACGGAGAAGAGGAGGGCATCCGAGCCGAGGGCCATCCGGAGCATATCTTGCTCTGCCTCGTCTTGCAGAAGCAGATATCCAATGATCTTTGAGACGTGCCTGGGATCCAGAGCCTGCACTCTTGCGTACAGCATTCTGGTGAGCTCGTAAGGATCCATATGATTTTTTCTACAGAATGAATGGAGCCGAGGTGAGCACCGAGGAGAGGAGCAGCAGCAGTAGCAGCAACAGCTGCACAGAATGCTACTGGTAACATACCTCGTGTGTGGTTTTTTTTTCTTCGGATGTACTAATCCTGCGAGAAGTGATTCGTGCAGTTCATCGGCTCCCTCAAGCTGCTTCTTCAAAAATGGGAAGGGGGAGGGGACCCTCGTTCTCCACTGTTCAACCAATCACTCTCCCGAGACCTGCTGACAAATTCGAATTATTGGACTATAGCTCGGATGGGCTCTCCAGCAGATCCCTTGCAAAGAAAAGGCAAAAAACAAGGCCGCAGTTCAATACTACACGGATTCTACTGTTTTAGTGAGCGAGACTTTTGAAGCATCAGCAAGGAAAGCTTTTTCCTCTAACCAGAGAAAGCAGGTCGCGCAAGCCGAGAAAGGGATCCTTCAGACAGAGCGTCAGTTTTATATTCATATCGGTCACAAGGAGAAGAAAAGGAAGCAAGCGCTGCTCTGCAAAGATTGAGAGGAGCAGTTTTCCTGGTAAGGTTTAAAGCCCAGAAAAGAAAAAAAGAAGATACTAAAGCTTCGTTTTCTTCGCAGATTAATGCAGGCCGAGGAGAATCGTTTCTCTTTTTTTTCTCAGGTAATGATATGTTACAATCTCAGTGACTAAAGGCTTTGGCTTGTTACGCAGGATGAAATCTCGCTGCACAGTAAAGTACACAAAAGGGTAATGATATGTTACAGCTTGGTGACTCAAGCTTGGGTCGATGAAATCTCGCTGCAAAGTACACTACGCAAAAGTTTTTCAAAGGGTGGCAAAGATCTTCCAGCGTCTTGTATATCCATACCACTCTTCGCTCGCTGCTCGTAGCACCTACTCATTCACTCTCTGCAGGCGGTAAGTAGCTCTGCTCCTGTTGCTGTGTGCTGCTGCTTCAGCTCGCTTTTGATTTTTCCAGAGATTTTTCTTTGTCAACCAATCTCTCGCTTGGTTTTTCTTTTGTTTTGCTTTCTCTGCTGCCTGCTGTTTCCTCTTTTTTGTTACGAACTTACGTCGCTCGCTTGGCTTGCAGGCAGTGATTGATGGTGTTGCATCAGCACCACCCGCTGTACGTAAGCTTCCGCTCTCGATTTCTTTTTCCTGCTACTGCTCCTGCCTTTGGACCGTGCAATGCATCGGACTTACGACGCTGGCCCCAGAAACAAAACCGTCTCTTTTTCTTCCTGTTTTTTTTTCTCTCTTCTTCCTCTTCCTGGTCCCAGTGAACGTGCTGTAGGCAGGCGGGATTTTGTTTTTGTCGCAGTGGCCAGGCTCTGGTGATTGAGGGAGAGTTTACTTCCATATCCTCGGTAAGAAATCTCTGGTTTTCTTTGTTTTTCTTTAGTTTTTTTGGCTCTTTGTTTGTTCTGTAGCATAGGAGTATGCGTTATAAATTCCGAGAGCAGTCTTGCTCTGTGAGACACCGACGGTGACGTTGCTTGGATCTGCAGGAACAGCGCTGCGAAAAAATTAGCTTTACAAAAACGAAACCATTGACTCCCAACAGTGATCGTGGTATGGTTTTTCTATTGTCTTCATGTTCTCTCAATGCTAATGTTTTCTATTGTCTTCATGTAGAAAAATCTATACACGTGGGGCAAAGCTCGCCTTCCACTTGGCATTTCTTATCACAGCGCGTTTCATGGCGGCGAAGAACGAGGAGGAAAAAGCCCGGCCTTCTTCCACCCCGATCAGGTCCGTGTTACTCTACGCTTGCTACCTCGCCGCCATCTTCTACGCCAGCGATGGATTCATCCCCATCCCAGAGCTCCAGTTCGCGGCATTCGCGTCCTTCTACCTCTTCGTCCTCGCCAAGCTCGCGTTCCCTCCAGTCACAGCGACCCGGCCGCCGCAAGCTTACACCGGATTCAAGCTCAAGATCCTCAGGTACTACGTCTCGGTGGCAGCCGTCATTGGCCTTGTTCTTCCTCTCATCCTCCTGCTAGTCGGACTCTACCGCGGTGACCGGCACCTCTTTCGATCGGTAGTGCCTCACACCGCGCTCCTCGTCTTCCAGATCATGTCCGAGAGGGTTGCCGGGAGCTCCGACGCGGTCTCCTTCCCCATTCGAGCGTTCGTTCCCATCTCGTATAACGCGAGGAGGTTGTTCACCATCTGGAGCTGGATGATCGTCGAGTTTGCGAGGCCCGGTGGCGGCGGCGGCTGGGAGCGCTTCGCAAAGTTTGTAGCGGTTGCCAACATGGTGTTCTGGAGCTTCAACCTCTTTTGTTTCCTGCTTCCCTTGTTCCTGCCCCTGGCAATGCGGAGTTACTACGAGCACGCGATACGGAAAGAAAAACTAGAGACGCAGAGAATCGACTAAAACTAGATTGGACAAACTTACAGCAAACCCTCCGGGATTTATTCTCAACTGGCAGGGCTCCGTGAGACGAGATCGAGAGAATAAAAGCTTGAGTGTACCTCGTATGGAAGTTGTTTCAATCAAGAGAGGTCGTGGAGGTCTCGAGGATTGGCCGTGGTCTCTCTTTCTTGCTTTCTCGTTGCCGCTATGTCGGCCATCTCCTTCGCAATCTTCTCCAAGCGTGCTCTGTCCTTGGCAGCGGCCTCGCATTCGTCTTTGTCCCTCCAAACGGGAGCGGCAGGAGACGAAGCTCTCCTAGGGGACGGCACCGAGCCCGACGCTATCCCGGCGATGGTCTCTCCTGCTTTGGCTCGAGCCGCGGCGACGCCCCTCTCCTCCTCTGCCTTGTCTGCTCGTCTCATCCTCTCTACGTGGTTCCGCTCCACTGCAGCTGCGGCCTCGGCTCCGGCAGCCTCGACTTGGACTCCGCTCACTTCTCCGCTGTCCGACTCCAGCGACGTTGTCCAGTCCGCGTGCTCGCCGCTTGTGGCCTTTTCATCCGCCATAGGTCGTTAGGGCTTGAATGTCAGCTGAATGTGGCTGTCCACGTCGGCGCTTAGCCAGGGAAGACCAAGCTGTGCAGGTCTTTCGCTATCTCCTTGGCGGGGGCGGTGTAACCTTCAAAGTCGCAAAATTCACACTGCAAGCCACATTTTCTCAGTCGAAAAATGGTCTGAAAGGAAGCAACTTACATCTTCCCCGCTTTTCAGCTCAATGACCACGCCGCTGGGTCTCAAGCCTCGTCTGCTGGCATGGATTTTGGAGATGCTGGTATGGTCCATTTGTATTACCTGTGCGCGACATCAGAGAGCTATTAGACTTCACAGACTGAAGCTCTTACCTTCTGCTTGTCATCTTGAGTAAACAAGATATAAGCCGTTGTTACTAGCAAGGTTCCACTGTATTTGTGAAGCATTCCTTGCCGCCAGCATTTAAAGACTGCTCACGTTCAAATTCACTTAGCAGCTGTCCATGAAAAACCTTGCACTCACGCACCTTTGACAGCACTGTTACTAGACTTGAGTGGAGCGTGTCTCCCCTTCTCGGACCAAATGGGCGACATGCACTTCTCCAAATGTGACCCTGTGCCAACGACCTGTGTATGATTCAGCTTAGTTCGAGTAACTTGTACTCAAGTCGAAAGCTCACCTGATCAAAGATTGTTTTGCAAACTGCATCGCGATCGGACAGCTTGCTGAACTCTAGAGGGCGTTGATGGAAAGGTATTAGCACGATTGATCGTTTGCCTGAGAGCTCAATGCGCATCATGCGATCAATTGGGACCACGTACAGGTTTCGGCTATCGGCAAGAGTCATCTTCGTATCGGCAAAGCAAATGTGTTTTGGTGTAACGTATAGTGTGCCACGCACTTTTTGAGGATTTCTGCAAAACGGAGGGAAGTTATTGAAAACAATATTCCAAAAATCATAAGCGTCTTTACCTGCAAGAATACGACGCCACCAGCTCTTCTTCTTTTGGAAGACCGAACATGAACTGGAAAAAGGCCAACCCGTGAGGAACGATACCAGCGAAAACTTGAAAGCAAATTTACCTGCATCATTCGTTTGTTTGCAATGAAGTTCTGTTGCTCGACTATCTCATGGGCTTCATCATCAGTCCTCTGCTTCAACAGCCATAAATAGTCGAGAATGTGGAGCGTGCCACTGTTCCCGTCAACTTCAGGTTGCCGATTTTCTTCCTGAGTATTAAACTGGTCCCAAGCTCTCCAGTAAAGAGAGCACAATTCACGAGTGTCAAGATCCCAGCAAGCCAGGATCTGACGTAGACGGGCAGTTATAGTATCCATTTGTCCACCGTCCAGACCTTGACCATCGCCATAAAAGTAGTCATAAAAAAACGAAAGGCTCTCTTCAAGGAGCCTCCTTTGCTTCGGGGTCATCGGATTCGGATCCTCGTCCCTATTCAGCGCAAACTCCTCCAGACAGAAAACTAAAGCTTTACATATCTCCTGCATAGAAGAAGATTCAGGTACAACAACCCTCTTCTTTACAATACGTACCGTGATTAGTTTTTGGAAAACGACTGGATGCGAAGAGTCATTCATGACCATAAGGTGCTGATCTAGATGCCCGGTTAACGGTTGCAGGTTCTGATCAAGTGTTTCACCGTCACTAATTGCTGCCTCATCGAAGATGAGATGCAAATCGCGTCCAATTCTAACCTGCAGCTGAGTGTTCAGAAATTGAAAGCATTGTAAGAAAATAAAAACCTGTAGGAGTTCGACAACGGAGCCGACGACGTTGTCAATTGTTTGCTCAGTGAACCGCTGTATTTCCTCAAACTTGGGATTGAGACCATCTTTCACACTTCCGTGCCTTTCCAAAATCTTAAACAAGCTCAGATTGTTCGCATCTGCATCTCTGTCCAGTCCAGATGATAGCAATGATTAGTATAAAAATAAAAACGCAAGACGCGTCCTTGCATTACGTTTCCAAGGGTTCGCGTCCATTACTATTTCGCTGTGTTTCCATCAGCCTCCGTTCCAAGTCCTGGTGTTGTTCCATGACAGCATTCATGTTGTTCAACTGGTCCATTACCATCGTATTCAGTTTTCAGTTATACAAAATAAAAATTATTACCTTCACGCAAAGTGCCTTTGAAATACTTAGCTCGGAAGATGATATGCCCTCTGCGGTGGTTTCTTCAGGAAGATCCCGCAAGCACAACTTCTCTAAAAGCTCAACGTATGTTCTGACGGCTGTACAGATCGCGTCTTCAACATTTTTAAAGTAAAAATTGCCAAACGGAAGTGTTGCAAGCCTTGTCATCATTTCGTCCATAACTTCACCAAGCATAAAATATAAATCTAAAAAAGAAAAAGAAAGTTATTTTCTGTAAGAGAAGCTCTGTTATACTTCTTACCTACAACGGAGAAAGAAAATAAGGCACCCGACTGAGCTGAAAGAGGCTCCCACTTTTCTGCAGTGATACTGGAGCTCACCCAGCTAAAAAGAAAAGCATGACTTAAAAGTCTTCTGTATACATGGTACTTACTCAACCATTCTTGTTCTCGCGGTGCTAATTAGTTGATTGATGTGGTCTCCAAATATCCCATGGAGATCCAGAAGCTCGCATTTTTCACCGGCCAATTCAATGTCCTTATGAAAAGACAGCATTTCCATTATCAAACTCTGTAAGAAAGAAAGTTAGATCTAGAAACAATTTTGCAAGCTATACCTCACAATCTTTAGTAAACATCTTCACTTGTGCCACCCGGATACAGTTTATTACGTACGCGGACACCTGCAGAGCAAAGTTAAATACAACGTTTGAATAGCCATGCCGCTTTACCAATTTGTAATAGACAGGAACAGCTACAGCAGTCAAAGATACTGCCTCAGGAAATGTATCTTTGAAAGAAGTTCTTAACTCCGTTACGTCCCCATGCACCAGTTTTATGACATTTGACAAATGCTGAAGAGAAATCTCTGTAGGTTGTTGAGTGGAAGAAATGCCGCCAAAGAGGTGGTGATAAAATCTTTTCTCGCATGAGTTCTAATAGATAAAGTGAGGATAAGAGAGAGATTTTATGGTCACTGTGGACAAGGACACCGCAACCGTAAGAGAGGCATTACCTTTATCCAGCTTTTCAGTGGAATGAGAATCTCTTTAGGATCCGGATCCCAGCGGAGAACAAGGCCCAACAACTTGAGAAGGCATGATAGTGCTCCAGATGGTTGATTTTGCGCAAAAACAGTCTGAAAGTTCTCAATCGCATCAATAGCCGGTTTTACGAGCACTGCACCCAGTTTAAACAACAAAATCACGGAAAAGGAAAGAGAAATGAGTAACATTTGGACATACTCGAGACCACTGCTGTGTGTAATCCAAGCTCGTCTTTCGTTAGCTGTCCTCCTCGTGCTGAGTCACAAACAGGAAGCCACTCTTCCACAATGGAGGACAGGATATGGACGTTAATATGGAAATTCCGTGCCAAAACCATCACAATACCCAGGCTGCATCTTTGCTTACGTATCCGATAGTGAAAACCAAAGCCAGCCACAATACCATGCCACTGTGCAGCAACGTCAACGTTGCCTATACAGAATTGTTAAACAGGAAAATAATACTTAACGTGGTTCGAAACATACCTTTCTTTTGTGGCTTGTAGGCCATGGATACTAGAGCATCAAATGCTTTCTCGACATCTGGAACCGGTGGTCTCAAGAGTAATTTGTTGGAAGGAGCATCTCTGAAGGCGCAGCTCAAAATTATATCTAATATCATAAGCTAGCAAACCTGTAAAATCTTTCGCACGAACAAGAAAATCGCAGTTGTATTCCACTGGTCTTCTGTCGTCCCTTCTCATCCGCTAGCATGTATGACATCAATGGAGTCTTTCCTTGCATAACACCCTGGCTGAGTGCTTGAGACTCGATGTTACTGAAAGAGACAATCACTTGTCCGAGGAACGGATCTTGATTCCAAGGCGCCACCTGTAAGCAAAAACACTCACTTGAAAATTCACTCTGAAAGTGATGTGAACTTGCCTTCAGGCTCCTACTGGAGCTCCTACTCCGAAGCACCTTCTTGAGCTTGGATTTTCCAGACGCTCTGAAAGATGACCCCCCTATTTGTCTGTCCCAGACTTCTATAAGCACTTTGTCCTGCACACTACAGCAATTCAGAGCCCACTTAAATACGAAATTTTTTAAAAATCGCAGGCCACGTCGGTGCCAAGCAAATCCGCTACAGTGAACAAGAGCAAACTATACAGAAAAGCATAAAGTACTAACCTGCTCACGCGAATCCATGGCGATGCTGCTTGCCATTCAGCATTCCCGGTACTGGGAACAACGTCAGTTAAAAAAGCAGGAGTCGGCTCTTTCCCAAGATCACCCGTGCCGAATTTTTCTGATCCAGATCGCATCGGCAAGACAGTGACCGACGAATAAACATGGAGCTGCTTTAAAGCTTCCCTGCTGCAACTTAAAGGCGACACGCAGCCCACCTCCAATGGCTTAAGATTGTCCACCGAAACCACGTCCACTTGGACAAAGCCAGAGAAAGATGGACGCTCACCGAGCTTCGCAATCAGCGTGGAAACCTCTTGCATTTGTTGCTGCTTCCAGCGCTCATAAATTTGAGGGTCCTCGAATTGGTCCAGGTTGACGGACTGGAGTTGATTGTTTTGCAGCGCGTCCAGCCAAAGCGAGAGCTCTAAAAGCCAAAAACGAATGAGTCTTTGAAAACCATGGATCTGTCTTTCAAGACCTGCTCGACGATACTGTGCCGCTTTCTGGGCTCGGAGCTTCACGCTGTGGAGCATGGCGCGATCGATCGTCGAAAAGGCGCCAGTCACAGTCTCTGCATCGGCCAGTCTATCGTCCAGGCTCCTTGCGGGCGACGAGACAGCGAACACGGACCTTAGAACAGCCTCGCAAAGATAAGCGTCCTCGCTGAAATCGTTCACTTCTTCCTCCTCGTCTCCGCTGAATTGTGATATCTCTTCATCTACACTCACCTACAATCGCAAAGGTTTCTCTGGTCGATTTGAGGAATTCTAGATTCTAGCTTACCTCCTTCGTCGTAACGATCCCATTCTTCACCGACACCTCCCATTTCTTTCGCGGTGGAGTATACGGCAGCCGCAATGCCGAGGAAGAATCATCCCCTGGGACCGATATTTCGCAGTCCTCATCGCTGGAAGAGCTCGGGGATTCGAAGCTCCCGTCGAGAATGCAGGAAGACGGAGCAACGAGCCGCTCTGGATCGCAATCTTTGAGCGATAATCCCCGGACTGGAGTCGTGCGCCTGGAGAGAACAGCCGACATTCTATCGCGACGACCGCGAGCAGCAAATTCCCTAGGGCAAAGAGCGATCCTGAGGAGAACAGCCACGAAATCTAGCTAGAACAGCTCCTCGCATCGATCGAGAGCTCATCGAAATCTCGCGAGCACAGGGAATGGCGAGCAAGATATCCCAAGAGAAGGAAGAACGCTTCTATCAATCAAAGAAAATGCCAGCAGCGAAACCTATATATCAAGCCTTGAAATCAATCGCACGTTGCCAGTTAGCCGACGTGGCGCCATCCACCGCGTCCACGCGGGAAAAAGCATTCTCGCATCGGGGCCAATCGACGGGCAGCGATTTTCTCGCATTATCGCCCACTGTCGGTAGCTTGACGAACGGCTGCGATGATTCGTTCATCTTCCACCAAACTCTCGCTTTCTGGGCTCGCAATTCTCCGATGAAAATTGAGTCCCTGGAACTATAAATTCCAAGTCCCCACCCTGAGAAAACTTTCGACAGCTTTGACTGTAAGATCGATTGAGAGGCCTGTTCACACAAACACATTATGAAATTCTTTGAGCACTATTGAAAGCTTACTTTGAAGGAATAGTGCTCAAGAGGCCTTCTGCAAACACCATCAAATCAAAAGAATTATAGAGCTAGAACTTAAGAAAGTACCTGACTTTGGCGTGCCAGATCTCCTGAGAAACTTAATCTCTCTCTCTCCAAATGGAACCAGAATCCTCATCTGTTCTAGCGTTGTTGATCCATTCTAACTGTCACCGCCACCTTTAGTTTCATCGTTGTCAGCCTTCTTGGCGTTCTTTCCTTCCGGAGGCCAAGGATGACCACAGACTGGAGCTTTGAGAACAAAGCCTTCTGGTAGAATGGGACTCACGGGGGCCGGGAGTCGACCGATGGCATCAACCAGTGGCGCGATCTTTGGTTTGGGCCTTGCAGCTCGGGGAAGCAAGCGACCTTTCTTCTTAAACCAGAGTGGATCGAGCAGCGCCCTCATTCCAAGCTTGTTGTAGTGAACTTTGCGGACAGTTCCTCCAGCTTGCTCGATTGCGATCTTAGCAGCCGTAGTGCATCTGCTAACCTGTTTCAAAGACAAACCTTTGTTAGAATGTACCAAGCGAGTGACTAAGTGCGTAATATAGACCTCAATGTGAATAGGAATGTCAAAATTCTTGAGACCGCGTCCCAGTAGCAAAACTCCATCCTGAATGTACTTCCCAGAGCAGCGCGTATCCTACAGATCAGAAAGTTCAGTCGGGAAGAACAGAAAGTTTAAAAAGTAAAATATGTTCGTACGTGAAGTGTCTTCATGGTAATCAGCTTGCCGGGATCGATCTTTCCTTTCAATATATGCTCTTTCAGCCTCTCCAGCGTCACCTCCTGAACAACAGAACAAAGAAAAATCCATCAAAATCGCGTTTTCTGAGAAAAAAAGAAGTAGAATACGGCAAGTACCTTGAATTGGAGCTCGAATGGAGACTTGCTCTCGTACTTCTTCGGCAAACGCACGCGTAGAGGAGTCTGTCCACCCTCGAAACCCAACCTCGGTTTGTGGCCTCGTCGCGCCTTCTGTCCCTTTTGTCCCCTCCCACAAGTCTTCCCCTTCCCCGATCCTATACCCCGTCCAACTCTCTTCACATTCTTCCTCGCGTATGGATTGTCCGGCAAGTTCCACAGCGGGAGGAATCCGCCCTCTGGAATTTCTATGGGAGCAACTCGTGCTTCCTCTTCTTCGCCCTGTGCTTCAATCTCCTCTTCCACTTCTTCTACTTCTTCTTCCACTATTGTTGCTTCTTCTACCTCTTGCTCACCTCCTTCGATCTGGAGCGCAGCCGCTCCTGCGCGGAGCTTCTTCAGCAATCGAGGGTCCTCCTTGTAAAGATGCCCGAGCGGCTTGTCGCGCTGCCAATGCGGGCGAGGGAAGGAGACGCCGTTGTGCACATCCTCGGGCGCCGCCAGGAAGAACTGCTCCACGGGCGGCTCCGGCACTGGCGGGCGGCGGCGGGGGCCGATGAACTTGGGCGGCATGAAGAATGCGGGCAGAGGGACGCCAAACGTGAACCTCCTCTTCTTCGCCATGCCCGCGATGAGCATCTTGTTCGCCATGGAGGATGCAGAACCCTAAACCCTAAAACACAATTTAAACACTGTCATAAAACGTATTGTTCTATATACAAAACTTACCAAAACATAATGTCCTTTAAAAAAATAATTGTCCTTTAAACAATATATTGTTCGAAAACATATTGTCCTTCGTTTTCCAGCGAAGCCACCGTGGGATGAAGACTTTTCGCGAGCGCCTCAAAGCTCCTGCCCAGCTGCAATTCATCCAAGCTCATCTGGAACACACCCCCGCCCTCGCAAGCCATCTCCTCCAACACTTCCCTCGACGAAGTGTCACTCCCAAAGATGATTGTGTGAACAACCACCCTCGGCTCCACGCTCTTGATCCTCCTCACGAACGCCACCGGATCACTCCCACCATTGTTCTCACCATCGCTCAAGAAGATAATCGCCGGAGGCCTCCTATCCTCCAAAGATCTGTCAAGTATCTCCTCTGCAAGCTCCAGTCCCAAGGAGTAGACTGTCCCAGCCTACCAGTGGTGCCCGAGCAGCGCATGAACCTCCGACTCTGCCATCGCCACCTTCTCCACAGCGATCACTGCCGACCCCCCCAAACAGCACCTCGCAGATACCAGCCGCCAGCCTCGTCCGCATGAACCTCACCATGGCCTCGTACACACATCCCAGCCGGCAGGGGAAGAAAGTTGGCCATGCCCGGCTACAAGTCCAGGACGTGGTTCTCTCGGGTGCTTGCACGAGAAAACATGCCCGTCCTCGCTCACGTATCCCCGGAGGTGGAACTCACGGGCGCGTCCCACAGCTTCTCGGTGCAGTGACTGACCATCATCGCCAAGGTGCTCAGACGAGGCACACGAGTAGGCACATAGCGCAAACGAGCGCTGGTCCTCGTCCGAGCACGGGTCCTTGAAGCAGTAGGCCGCGTGAGTGAGCTCGTCCTTGGCAACGTCAAAGTTCGGCCCATACTTCTTCGTCTCGTGCCTGGCACCATCCGCGCCTTGCACACTCCAAAGATGGTGTCGCACACCGCCAAGTGAATGTGTCCCCGGGCCACATCTCCGCAGCACCTGACTCCCCCCAAGAGTATCTCCGGTCCAGAATGTCCACCTCCTCGGTCTCGGACGCGAAAAACTTGTCCGTCATGTTGCCGTGCGTGGTGTCGTGCAGCCCGCGGTGTCCCCTGGCCAGGTTGCAAAAGTAGCCGCAGCCTTCGCAACGAACCGGGCAGAAGTGGATGGCACTCGGGTTCGTGTGTGCGGCCCACTATGGGTATTGTTGAAAGCTCGAACCGGCAATCAGCATCCTTTTCTCACGCCGTTTTGCTCCGAAATGTGCTCGTACTCAAACTGCGACCGCTTCCCCACGAACGTCTTTGTCTTCGTCACCACCTACTCGCAGATCCCCGGCGACTGGCACAGCTCCTGGCACGGGTGCTCGATCTCGCAAAAGTGCTGGATACCGCTCCTTGTCGAGTGAAAGTGGTCGGACAAGTGCAACTCGAGGCAGCATATGTGCAAGGAAAATTGCCAGCTTCCGGGCTGCGACAACATCTGCATCTCACCGAGCTCGATCACAGGCTCCACGCATGCCACGAGAAGATGTGCCCGATGCTGTGCTGCATGCCGGGGTGCCACCGAAAGTGTGCCACCGGGCCAACTTTCCTGGAGCACACCTTGTTGCAGTTGCTCGATGCGCCGAGGAGCTCGCACTCGTGGTCGCAAGTGTGCAACTTGAGCTTGCAGTCGTGAGAGCCTTCGTGACCGGCAACGTCCGCACAGTGGCTTGCGGAGCTCGTCCCTTCCTCCATGCAGTACGTGCAAAACTCCGAGCAGCGGTGGTTCCCGTTGCAGCTGTGCGAGCTCTTGTGAGACTTTTCCAACGAGCACCGGAGGAAGCAACGGGTACACTTGCAGCTGCAAGCCAGGCTCTCCTTCATGCAAGAGATCATCGCCGCCGCCTCGAGCACCAGCTTCTGGACGTCGCCTTCGGTGGTAAAGGCAGCAGTGTTGGAGCCGATCCACTTTGTGACACGTCCTTGCGCCTCTCGACGAGCTCCACGAGGAAAATCTCTGCTTTCCTGTGCCATTCTTCATCACCTTTACCAGTCTGCGGCATCACTTTCTCAAACTCGCCCAGCAGCTGCTCCAGCACCGCTCTGAATAAATCCAAGTCACCATGGCAGGTGAGTCGGAGCCCGGCATCGTCAACTCCGAAAGCGAGACCCTCGATACTGAGAATGGCATCTTCTATAGGTTCCTCGGTGTCGAAGTTGACGCGAGGCTTGCGGTTTTCCATAGACCCTGAACGACTGCTGAGTGCAAGTTCTTGGCAAGCATGGTCAGCTTGAACGCGATCCGCTTGGAATCAATCGGTGACCAGTCCTTCGAGCTGATTTGAGCAATTATCAGCTTAAGGTCCCGCAGGAAACTCTTCCCATTCGTGTGAACCGGCTCCAACTCTGAGCAATCTGGGAGATGCTTTCGTAGAACTCGCAACGGTTGAAAGGTGGCATAGCGCATATCTTCACTTCGCCACCATACATTCTCGTCAGGAAGTTCTCCTCCGCCTTGCTGCAAATCTGTGCTATCTTGGAGTAAGACTCGTGCCTCAGGTCCTCGACGTCTGCTGCATCCACGTCCTTGATAGCCATGTAGAACAGACCCTTGAAGAGCTTCTCATCTTGCTTAACCAAGCTGATCGAATAGAGCCTCGGTTTCCTTATCAAGGTGGAAGTCCTGCACGTCAGTATGTCAGAAAGCTCGAAATAATGAGTCTCACTACAAAACTCACCTTTTTGTTGAAAACCGTGATGTTGCTGACTGCTGCATTAAGAATCGAGATAGCATGTCCTCTTGCTCGCTCCTTTCAAAACTTCCGAGTCCCTCGAAGTCGAGAATGACATATAAGCAGCCCTCCGCCGTGCAAGTGTTCATCCACACACCGTCTGTGCATCGCCATCCAGCTACGTCCAGCAAAGAACCGCTGAGATGATTCAGAAGATATGACTTCCCGCTGCTTTGTTTCCCCATGGAGGAGATAACTTTGACAGGCCCGTTCCAGCTCTGGATGACAGCGTCATAGAGTCCAAAGCGAATGATCTCCGTGAGAGAGATAGAGTCCGTGTAGTTGACATCAGCTGCCATTCTCATGCCGTTGATCAGAGGCCGCAAGCTGTTGTTCTCTGCTCGAGCAATCTGGACGGGAACCAGGCATGAAAGCCTAGAATATCATGATCATTGTAAGCCGTCGCAAGAAATCTCCCAGGCAGCGCTGGCTCGTCCAGACCTCAAGCTTGGGATCAAAGTGCTCACTCTGAACAATGAAAGGGCATTGGTGCTTGTCCCTCAAGCCCAAGTGAAAACAGTGAAGGAGAAGATCAACTTTGGTGAAGGAAGTGAGACATAGGAAACAGAGGAAGAGGAGCAGGATGACCACGAGGAAGTGAAGGAAAAGCAAGTGGAAGTTGAGGATGAACAAGATGAAGCCGAGAAGGAAACTCCAAAGGAACAGGAGGTTGAGGACCGCGAGAACACGCAGGAGGAACCACCCCATAACGGGGAAAAACTGATGGATCACACGCAGGAGATCCTAGCACCAAAGAAAAATCAAGAGGAAGGGATTACCGATGACAAACTCCCAGAGACTCCAGTTTGCAATCTTGAGTCTGTGACAC